TATGGAGATTCCTCAAAAAGTTAAGAATAGAAATACCTTATGACCCAGCCATCCCACTACTGGGTATATATCCTAAGAACCTGAAATCAGCAATTTCAGAAGCTCTATGCACCCCTATCTTCATTGCAGCATTATGCACAATAGCCAAGTCATGGAACCAACCTAAGTGCCCAGCAACTGATGATTGGATAAAGAAGTTGTGGTATATTTATACAATGGAATACTACTCAGCCATAAAAAAGGACAAGGTTGTCCCATTCACAACAACATGGATAGACCTTGAGAGTATTATGTTGAGTGAAATAAGCCAGACAGAGAAAAACGAACTCGGCATGACTCCACTCATAGGTGGTAGTTAACGTATGGACAAAGAGAACTGATTGGTGGTTGCCAGGGGAAAGCGGGGTGGGGGGAGGGCACGAGGGGTGAAGTGGTGTACCTACAACATGACTAATAATAATGTACAACTGTAATTTCACAAGGATGTTAACTTTTATAACCTTAATAAAAAACAAACAAACAAACAAAAATTGCATCTAAGTATCTTACCACTTTCAGAAGACTTCCCCAGGGTGAGGCAGCCCCGCCTGTCTCGGGCGAGGCCGTTAAACACAACCGAGCTCTTCCTGACGACTAAAGGTCTTCACCGAGTACATCCAGGACCAGCGATATCCTCGGGTCACCTTTTGCTTTGTATTTTAAAGTCTTATGGCTTTTCCCTCTTTGGGGAAACCCCGGCGAGCTGCCAGTCTAAGTCCTCACCACTCCCAGCGTGCCTGGCCCGTCTCCCTCCTTCGCTCTGGTTTTGGGAACCAGAGGCGCTGCGTGGATGGGAGAAGCACTGAGCGAAGCCCCAGGAGCTCTAGGAGAACCGTGCGCGAGCTCAGGGCTCTGCCTGATTGTCTGCAAAGCTCAGCGAAGCTCAATCGAAGGCCAATCGCGTGCCAGGCAGTGGTCCATCCACTACAACAGTGGGTGAAAACAGCCCTGTCTGCCCTCTGGGGATCAGGAGCACCCAGAGACACCTGCACTGATGAGATCTGACAGCCTGATGGTGGCAGTGCAGGCGGTGGGCCAGGCCGGGTGGGTTGGTCAAAGGCCTGGAGGTGTTTGCCTTCAGTCACGAAGGGCTCCATTCTTGGATTTCATTCCATTTTTCTGTTCGCCCTTGACTTGAACAAAAAGGAAGAGTTAACTGCGAACGTGGAGATGGAGAAGTTAGGGGAGAATGTGCAGATCCATTGACTTGGTGTCTTTGTAACTACCTAGGAAAATCTCCTCCTCGGGTTCAGCCTGTCCTCACCCCAGGCCTTACCGCAACAAAATGAAACAGATGCTCTTGAGCATCTGCATGTGAAGCAACTGTAGTCTGTAGATTTCTTAGACACAGAAGTGTAAAGGTTTTCTCTGTTTAAAGAAGGCAGTGGTTCAGGGGCAGAGGGGGCTACCAAGGAGAAACACAAAGGGATTCTGCAAAGCCCTTCCCTTGGCCTCCAGGCTCCCCTCGCCCTTTCCCTCCTTCTGTCCCAGCCACGCTGGCCCCCTTGCTGATCTGTTGCTTGAACACACCAAGCACGTTCCCTTTGGGAGGTGCACACTTACGTAACCCACTGCCCCTCGCGTCTGCACTGCCCACCACGTGATACAGGCTCCGCACGGCTGTCACCCCTGCAGAGGACTTCCCTCCCCTCCCCATCTCTACCTTCACCTCCTTTTTAGCCACAGCGTTTAACACTAAGTGGCATGCGACGCATTTGCTGTCTGCCTTCCCCACTGAAATGTGAGCGCCACAACAGCAGGGCCCTCCTTGTTCCCACTCCAGGCCCAGTTCCCAGAAGGGCCAGCACCCATGGCACTCACGATGTGGATTACTTTGTAGTCTTCTTACGGCTAAAAGTCAAATTATTTTACCACCACTATTTTTCTTGGGGACATCTATAAATGTGGCTTCTGTATGCAACACACTTGACAAGTGTTCATACAGAAGAGAAAGTTTCACTTGTTGGAAAGTGTTTGTTTGCATCCGTGTCTGGAAAGCAGACCACTCATAGGAAGGTGGAAGTTCAGAATCCTTTAATCCACATTCTTCTCACTCAGGAAAGAGTTAATAGGAACACTAGCCTCAATGCGTTCAGAACAACCACTGACATTTCTCTCAGTCCTTTCTTTCTTCTGAGTGATCACAGCCTGAAGAGCTTCAGGCCGTCAGTCCCTGACCATCCTCTTCGGCTTTACCAGTTCTTTCCTTCTGCTTCCACCCAGACTACGATGCCCATACTGGCCTTTTCCAATACAGCGGGCCTCTTGCAATAGGGAGCCGGGGTCCAATGAGGCCTATCTGAGTAGTCACGTGCCGCATGACGACATTTTCAACGACAGACCGCACATACAACGGTGGTCCCGAGTACCATAGAGCCTTGGTGTGTAGTGGGCTGTGCCATCTAGGTTTCTGTGCGTGCACTCCATGATGTTTGCAGTGACGAAATAACCTAACCACTCATTTCTCAGAACACGGGCCTGTCATTAAGCGACGCGTGACTGTAGTTGGGTTTTTTCCCCTCCAGAGTGAGTCAGACGTAAGCTCCTTAAGCAAAGGCTGGACTGCCCACACCCAGACGTTCCGATCCCTCGTCTACAGAACTAACAGGGTAAGCCCAGTTCCACTACATCTTAACAAAACCTATGCTTTTCAAGGTTTTGTTCTGTAGCAATAGAAATGGCAGTTTTTGGCAAGCACAAAGTCTAGAGAAATGGAAATTTTCTTATAATAATCTTACTTTCCAATTGACAGCTATAAATACAAAGCAGTACAAGACCTCTGATAATGTGTGTATATTTACGTCTGTCTTTACACGGATACATCGGATTGAGAAGGAAAAAAACTCGGCTCTCAAGCGATTCTTTTAATTAGGTCAAGAAGCTTTTGTGTTATTTGAGGATAAGTGAATGGTAACTCTTTTCAAAAATCCCCAGTTTGTCAGTGGTCAAGAATACTGAAACTGAAACTCAAAAGATTTCACTAACTGCAGAAAAATAATCTCGGAAACACTTTGTCAAACTATTTCCAACGCCAAGAATGTGTAAAGACTGAACAAAAGATTTAGGGCCATCCCAACAAAAGCCAGGAGGACACGCAGAGACGGGAAGTCTGGCAAGACGTGAGGATGAAGCATGTGCTGTTTTCCATTTTAAGTATGTAACCTGGTTTCAATCATTTTCCAGAAATGTTTCCAAATTAGAAGAAAGGAAAAAAAAAAACCTTCAAAAGATATTAAGAAGACTAAACTATTCTGTTTGAGATCAGACCTGACTTCACAGCTCGGACTCTGAGAGCCATCATACCCGAATGAGAGCTGTGCCATAAATCCTACAGATTTAACGACGTGTCTCTACCGACCCTCCAATATCCCACACCCACTTTTAGATGGTGTGGAACTGCCTGCCTTTTTCATTCATGCTCAGGTGAAAAAAAGCACAAACATATCTAGGAGGACCTTTAAAACTTCATTTTCTGGTGAAAAGTAAGAAACATATACATCTACTGTACCAAAACTTTCGAAGAATTTATAGGTCAATGACAGTCACAGTAGAAACATCATTAAGAACAGAAACTCCAGTTGGGTTTTCAGTTAGGCACCAGCAGACTGCTTCAAAGACATTCCTGATGGCAAGGACTGCACACTTGCACAGCCCAAGATCCATTATCAATGACAGTCGAGAGAGAACCGAGTACCCAGGGGACAGAGAAAGGATTCAGAAGTGTGGAGGAAAAGGAAAGCTGAAAGAGACATCATACTGGACATAAGACAAAGAAAACATCTCTTTTCAAAGAATAACTCTAAAACGTCTCTGCATTGGAGTGCTTTAAAAATGCAAATTGGGCATCGGCCCCATGGCCCAGCGGTTGAAGTTCTGCACGCTCCGCTCCGGGGTTCGTGGGTTCAGATCCTGGATGCAGACCTACTCCACTTGTCAGCCATGCTATGGAGGCATCCCACATACAGAGTAGAGGAAGACTGGTACAGATGTTAGCTCAGGGACAATCTTCCTCACAGAAAAAAAAGTTAAAAATGCAAATGGTGCTACACCAGATTCAATTCCTAAATGCTACAAGCAGGGGCTATGGATGTCCTGAGCTAACCCAAGGTATAGCATGGAGAAAAGGAAAAAAGGTGGAGGAAGACAATGAATGAGTGAATAAGAATTGAAGGAGGGGCTAGCCCGGTGGCATAGTGGTTAAGTTTGCGCACTCTGCTTCAGTGGCCCAGGGTTCGCAGGTTCAGATCTCAGGCATGGACCTACAGACTGCTCATCAAGCCACGCTGTGGCAGCATCCTACATACAAGACTGGCATAGATGTTAGCTCAGCAACAATCTTCCTCAAGCAAAAAGAGGAAGATTGGCAACAGATGTTAGCTCAAGGCCAATCTTCCTCACCAAAAAAAAAAGGACAGAAGGAAGATAGCACAGTGAGGGTGGGGAGAGAGAGGAAGAGAAGAGCACACACTGGGAGCCGGAGCAGACCACTGAGAAGCAATTAAAGTGACGTCAGCTCCTGACTGAATTCTGGCTCTAGGGGCCAGCTCCCTGGCTGAGTGGTTGGGTTCACGTGCTCTGCTTTGGTGGCCTAGGGTTTCGCTGGTTCAAAACCTGGCTGCGAACATGGCACTGCTCATCAAGCCATGCTGATGCAGCATCCTACATGCCACAACTAGAAGGACCCACAACTAAAAACACACAACTATGTACCAGGGGGGCTTTGGGAGAAAAAGGAAAAATAAAATCTTAAAAAAAAAACATTCTGGCTCTACTCACTAAAACACATCTGGAAAGGTCTTGTTTAAGAGGGATGAAAAACTATTATTTTAAAAAAAGAAAAATGCATAGTAAATTTTATTTATGTATTTATAAAAAGATTTATACCAATCAGGCCTTTAACATGTAAAAAGTACACCTATATTTACAAACTTAACTATATGAGAATATAAAAGCAGACGGAATTATCAAAAAGAAAACATTTTATTTATATCACTAAATACAATTAGTTTCCCTGATTATAACCCATAATGAGTGTCACCTAAAATACAGGACGGTCTGTACAGAGGTGAGCAACCCCAGCATCACTGTGTGCACACACTGAACCACTGACCTCAGGAAAAGCAGAGCTGATGTTGCTAAATTACTGTCTGTTTCAGAAACTCTCACCATCTGACGGAAATCAGAGGAAGATTTATGTAGCAGAGCACTTGCATAATAACTTAAAAGGTTAAAAGCTTATAGTGATAAAATAATCTTGTGCACTCTCCTCAGGAATTTTAGGCAGGCGGCCCTCTTACAGATCCCAAGTCTGGACAAAGACAACCAATCATGAAACACTGGGTCAGTTCACTGGCCATCTGGTTGGTCATGGTGCATTTCTGGCGAATAGGTCAACAGAACGATCATGACCCAGAGGTGAAGCAAAGCCTAAGGAAAGAAAAGCAATGTATGCATTAGCAATAAATCCAGCTCCAGCAAGGCCCACTGTGAGTGCCCTGAGGGCCAGCACCACGTCTTATTCGTCTCTGTACACCTGAGGCTAGCGCTGGGTCTGCAACCCTGTAGGGGCTCTGAACACTGACTGGACAAATAAGGATGAACCAGATGTACGAACAGTCAAAGGAGCTGAGCACAAGGGAGGGGAATACGGAGCTGCCCCTACAGAATTCTCAGCGGAGAGGCGTGAAGTCCTCAACACATTCACATTACGCACATGGCATGGACACATAAATAATCAGTCCGGTAACGACACTGCAGAGTAAATGGCATGATTAAAATTGCTAGATAAACATGAAGCTGGTCGGAAAGGCTTTCTAGAGCCGAGTTCTGGCTGGTGTTTAGAAAGAGGGTTGAGCCATGATTTGGTGAAGAGGTGACAGGGAGATGTTCTTGCCAGGAATAATGTGCCAGGTTTCAGAGGCTGATCTAGGGTCCAGCACAGGGCCTGCGGTGATAAAGTTCCACTAACGCCCTCATGAGAGCGCTGAACCAGAGTGAGGGCCGTCACTCAGGGCCTTGCGCCTCTGCAGTGCACCGCGCCCCATCTCACGCCGACCGACGGCGCATGTGCTCCTCACACTCTGCAGCGCAGGAAAGCAACCCGATGTGGGTGTACTGGACCCTTTCCCAGGCCATTCAGTTTTCTTTCTTTTGTTCTCCCCATCCCTCTCTTCTTAAAAACTTTTTATTTAAAGGACTAACTCTTCCCTCTAGTGGATCACAGAGAAATTTCCAGGTATGCTTTTATTTCTTTTCAAGAAAACTGCCTGTTTTAATTCAACTCAACTACTTGTACACATCCTCACTCATCATGGACCGTGAGCTTTTTAGGCTCACAGGACACACGAAATGACATGCCAAACTATGGTCGTCATTTTATGAGAGCTAAGAAATCCGAAAGAAAATAAATCAACTTTGAGATCCTTTTGGAAAATAAAGCAAAACACATGGAAAAAATTGAAGCAACTTTACATCGAGATAAAAACGAAATCAATTGTCTTCTATCACTATCATTAGGGGGCCTCAGAATGGAGGTAACTATTAAACTGCCTACAGTTAACGTTATCGTAGGAAAACCTTTCAGCAATTTCTTAGACAGAATGAATTGTCATTTTATGTGCATACTCTAAGGGAAAAAAGTCATAATTACTAACAATGAGTTCTTTTCTTTCAAAGCTGATTGCTAAACTTTTAGGCAAAAAGATGAGCAGCGAAAAAAAAACGAGTTAAAAATCAAGTGCAGCATTGTTTTTTCAAACAAATTTACTTACCATATATATAATTACAAAAACGCGTGCTATGGGGTATCTTCGGAGAAAAATTCCCAGACGGATGCTGTGCAAATAGTGGTGGGGGTGGAGAGGAGAAGAGAGTTACACTCAAAACAGATCTTCCTGTGGCAACAGTTTCTGATGCTTTTTAAAATTTCACTCATTTAAACTATTTACATGGCCGCCATAAAAGAAAGATTATTCTATAGAAGATCGTTAAATGATTACCTGAAATAACTATACAGAAATGTGACAGTAGTAAACAAATACTTTTGTCATTATTTGGGGTTTGGCTGTTAAACTTTAGCACAAGCTACTTCTCTTGATTCTGGAGCTACAACTGTAGAAGACAAACTGGGTCCCTGTCTAAATCATTTTTCTTTTAGGAACCAAAGAAGTTACAAAAGATAAGGCTGGTGTGAACACACAAATGGGAAAAGAAGACTCTGGTTGGAATTAATCTGCAAATAGCTAATCTGGAAATTTTTGCATGGATACATGCTTCTAAAAGGCACAGAACTATAGAAACTCAAGTAAACATTTAAAGTCAGCATAGGAAACATCAAGACATCCAGACCTTATTACTCCCACCTACTTGCAACCTTTTCCCGCATCAAGATGGATACACATACAAGCAAATACACCTTTCTTCTATGCCTTTCTGCTTCTGTCATTGCCACTAGCACAATGCCTTGCACATAGGTTCTCTAAAAAGTATTATGTATGCTGAATAAATGAATAGTTGAGATGGATGTGCCTAATAATTTGGATAGAATGACTGTGGCTTCTAAGCCTGTGGCTTCAGGAATCTTAGTAAATTGCCCTCCTTATTTTTAACACCATTGCTTTATCCTAGCACAAAAACTTAAAAAAAGATTGTTCTATTATACAACAATCCATTAAAACTTTAATTATCAACACTGAAAGGCAGAAGAGTTTAGTAGGTTATTTAGACATGAACTTTATCAAGGCTATATATAAACTATTAAAACATTTTCTTTATAAAGTAGATGTCTGCTAATATACAAGGCTATTTATAATATACATAACACACATATAAATTACATACTATTTGGGTAGTATGTAATTTAAACATTTAAAACATTAAAATGAGTACTGTTCATTTATTACAGTAGCATCTTATATTCTAATCACATGATAATGAGATAAAATATTCAAATAGATCTATTTACATGAGACAGAGGCTTGCTCAATGAAATTTAATTTTTCTTTTTTCTGGCTGAGGAAGATTGTCCCTGAGCTAACATCTGTGCCAATCTTCCTCTAGGTTGTATGTGGGATGCCACCACAGAGTGGCTGCCAACGAGTGGTGTAGGTCTACACTCAGGAACCGAACCTGGGCCGCTGAAGTGGAGTGCACCGAACTTAACCACTAAGTTAGGCCATGAGGCCAGCCCCTAATGAGGTTTTTCTTTTTTTTTTTTTAAAAGATTGGCACCTGAGCTAACATCTGTTGCCAATCTTTTTTTCTTCTTCTTCTTCTTCCCAAAGCGTCCCTCCACCACCCTGTACATAGTTGTATATTCTAGTTATAGGTCCTTCTGGTTCTGCTACATGGGACACCGCTTCTGCCCGGCCAGGTGAGTGGTACTAGGTGCGCGGCCAGGATCCGAACCGGCAAAACCCTGGGCCGCTAAAGCAGAGCGCGTGAACTTAACCACTCGGCCACGGGGCCGGCCCCATGAGTTTTTTAACAGAGTCTGTTATACAAAGAAGAGAAATGGTCAGAGGTAATCATCTTCAATAAAATATAGGCAGTTGCAGACCTTTTAAAGCAACTTCATGACACTGAAATACCATGAGAGGAATAAGGTAAATGTCACTTTAAATATCAGCTCTGCCTAATGGGACTCACTATGATTGAAACCACTGGAAAACGTTACAAAAATAGTGGACAGTCCATCACTCATCGTTACTGGTACTGCTTACCTAAATTGGTCAATTGAACTGGCAGCTTTGCGGACTTTTCCATACATTCCTGCCAGATTAGTTTCTGTGTCATTAAAAAGCACAGGAACATTTCGCAGACGCGTGCCTGTTTAAACAAGAAAAAAATGAATTAATGTACAGACACCAAAACCAATTTTCTAACAAAATTTTAGTTGAATATTCATTATATTACATATGGAAGAAATTCTCAAGGCCAACTCTCTAAGCACTACACCCAAAGAAGATGAAAGCATAAAGGAAAGATAGATAAACTCATTCTATAAAATGTTTAAACTTCCATATCCAAAAAAACAAAAATTTAAAAACTAAGAAAATTATTCTCCTATGAAATGAGCAAAACTTAAAGTTTGCAAACACCAAGTGTTGCTGAGTCCATACTAACGGGCACTCTCCTCCTGTGCCAGCAAGAGCGAGGCTGGACACCCCCTCTACAACACTGACGACTCCCAAATCCATTAGCTCCAGCCCAGACCCCTCCAAAGTGAGACGCGTCCAATCGGCTACGTCATTTCCGTCTGGGCGTCTAACAGACATCCAGACTCAGCAGGCCCCAACTAGGATCCTGATTTCCTGTCCTCACTGCCAACCTACTCGTCCTGCAGTTTTCCGCTCTCAGTACACGACAGCTCCACCCTTCCATCTGCTCAGGCCAAAAACCTTGACTCCTTTCTTTGTCCCAAACTCCACATCCAATCTGCCAGCAAATTCTGTCAGCTCACCCTTAAAATAAATCCCCAAGGTGCCCACTCTGGTTGGAACCACCACTGTCTCTCCCACGGACTGACACAATGGCTCCTCCCTGGTCTCCCTGCCTTCACTCCTAGCTCTCTGCAGTCTGCTCTGGACAGCGCAGCCAGCGGCATCTTATTAAAGACCCTTCAGTGGCTTCCTACTTCATTCAGAGTAAAAGTCCCTATACAGGCCTAGACGGTCTCCTCCAGGCTCTCCTCATCCCGCTTACCCTACTCTCCCCCTCACTCAGTCTACTCCAGCCGCTCCCGGCCCCTTGCTATCTCTGCAACATACCAGCAACACTCCCGCCTCAGGGTCTTTGCGCCTGCTCCTCTCTCTGCCTGGAACATTTTCCTGTGGCTCTCCTCATAGTCTACTACCCTACCTCCTTCGGGACTTTAACAAAGTGCCACTTTTTCAATGAGGTCTTCCTTGACCGCCCTATTTAAATTAGAATCCGCTCTCACGCTTGGCACCGTGTATCTCCCTTCCCTGCGTAACCATCCTCTGCAGCACAAAGCGCCATCTCACATAGTTCATTTATCGCCTGTCTCCTCCACCTGTACCCCCAGCAACACAAGGCATGATCCACAGGGCAGAGATTCTGGTCTCTTTTGATGACCACTGCATCTCCAATGCCTAGAACAGTAACTGGAACCAAGTAGGCACTTAATAATTATTTGCTGATTTTGGCAACAAAAATAAAAAGCCTTTAAACGCGTATACCTATGGATTCAGCAAGTCCATTGTTAAGAATTTATCCTAATAGAAAATACGTACAGAGGATATTTTCCTCAGAACTGCCATTAGTTACAAAATTAGCCACAATCTAAATCGCCAACCATAAGGAACTGATTCAACAAATTATGGTATTTTCATGTGACAGATTTCTATGAAGCAATATATAAGTTATTGTGTAAAATATATTATAAAAATTTATATGAAAAAAGTTGAAAATCAATAAAACAGATACTACAAACATATATAGGAAAAAAGTCTGAAAGAAGATGTTCCAAAGTTTTATCTGAGGACAAGAGACTATCAGGTGATTTTAATTTCCTTTTTTTTTGGTATTTCTTTTTATAGCAACCATGTGCTATTATGAAAATATATATATATATATATAAAATAACGTTATGTTTTAAAAATTTAAGAATAAAAAAATTAAAACCAAAAAGCTGGGAGATTTCCTGAATGACTACTTTGTAGGCTTTACAAGTTTCTAAAAGTAAAAACTTGCCTGTTGAAGCTTATACTAAAATCTTTAACACTGTTTGGCTACGTATTGTGGGAATCTGTAGATTTCTCTGTTAAAATCATAGACTGGAGATACTCCCGTGACTACGTATTAAGCTTTCTAGTCACAATTATGGGCGGGAAGCAAATCTGGCTCTGAGGCCCTGAAAGCGCCTTTCTACTCAGTCACTTGTCAGCGACAACTTGTCGAGCGTCCTACAGACTCCTGTAGGATTTTCGGTCCTCGGGCCTCCCTTCTCCGGGTCCCACACTAGTAAGGGATCTTAATCAGTCCACTGTCCGGCTGGCTAACGATCACACCAACAGCGCAGGGCCCAGGCCACACGTCTGGAGAAAAGCGGGGACTCGGTTGGACGAAGCTTCCTTTCAAATGAAACGGTCTTTCTCTAACTTTTCAAAGCCATGTTTGAATTAGCAAGGTTGGAAATTACAGCAATGAAACGTTTCTGTTACCTTCGCCGTTGTCAACTCCAGACATGTTAATGGAAGGCCCATTACTACCACTGCCGGCCGCGGAGTGCATCTGCTGCTCCAGGCGCTCCAGCTGGAAGACCAGCGAGTTCTTCTCCGTGCTGAGACTCTCCAGCATGGTCTGCTTCTGGATCAGAGTCTCTGTCAGCTGATGCAGTCGATTTTCTAACTCGGACTGACTGCTGTTGCTTAAAGTTTTATTGGTAAGCTGAAAGGCAAAGCATTCATTAAATTATTACATAAAACCAAAGTCATACAACATAGAAACCACGGTACTCCATTCCCATAGGGAAACGCTGGCATTAACTGATTTTTCAAAACTCTATAACGATTCTTTCACTGTCTACAGAAGCGATTTTCAAACTGTACTAGTGGGTCACCAAGTCAATTTAGTGGGTCACAACTGGCATTTAAAAAAAATAGAATAGAACGGGACATAGAGCACACAGCACATAGTATTAGAGAGCATTATTTTGTATAACTGCCGTTTTGGTTTTGAACGTGTAAGTGTGTGTGAGTATTGAGTCACGATGTAAACTTTATTTCTTACTGTGGCATCATGGTCAAAAATATCTCAAAGCACTGGTCCAGGAACACAGTTCACACTTCTCGGTCTGGATTCAAAACCTTCCGTAACTCAACAGTTGTGGTACAGCACAAAGACCACAATGTGAGGTCTTCACCTCAGCTCATCAATTTCCCAGCTGTCACCTCTCTGAACCTGTTTCCTCATCGATAAGTGAGGATAACAGTGCCTGTTGCACATGGTATTTACGAGGCCCAGAGGTAAAAGGATAAGCAGATGCAGCATTTTTACTGTTCACTCAGTATAAATCTTAACTCATTCTGATTGTGTGGGGTTTTTTTTAATGTATTAAGATGATAGTCTCTTTTTAAATTGTACAAGGCAGAGGCTGGCCCCATGGCTGAGTGGTTAAGTTCATGCGCTCTGCTTCGCTGGCCCAGGGTTTCGCCGGTTCGAATCCTGGGCATGGACACGGCACTGCCTGGCAAGTCATGCTGAAGCAGCATCCCACATGCCACAACTAGAGGGACTCACAACTAAAAATACACAACTGTGTACTGGGGGGCTTTGGGAGAGAAAGGAAAAATAAAATCGTAAATTGTACAAGGCAAATTCCTTCTCTGAGACAAAGTTTTTCCTCTGTTCTACTTAGATGAAAAATCTTTAAGACGCATCTTCCTATAGTTGATTCCTGATTAACAAAAACAGCACAGTATCTTACACATAGGAGGTACTCAATAAATAATAAATATAGGAGCTTTCTCTAAGATTAAACCAATTTGCGCTTTATGCTCCTTTCTTTTCTTGACTTTCTTTTAGCAAATCACGTTACCGTTTGTAAGCATTGCACAAATGTAGGTAAGAGAAGGAGAAGGGAACACATAAATCAATTAGCTGTTCCCAACTCTTATAAAAATTAAAATGAAATATTTTAAAACATTACAAATTATGGACTACTATGAATTCTAAAAACTTAGAAAATTAAAATTATTTGACGTTTCATGTTCAAACTAAGTCATTAGCTAACTAAAAAATAATTAGTCAATCTTTATGCAAATTATTTAAATGATCAATAAGTCCATTATTTATTAAGTCAATCATCTGAGTATAAGGGAGGAAAGGACAATGTACAATTACAGGGCAAGCATGCATGACTTTGTCAGTTAATGATAAAGGCTAATAAATCTAGGTGCTAGGCACTTGTTATCTTCTGTTTTACATTTCCAGAGTTAAAAAGGGTCTTGATGACCTTATGAAAGACCTATCAATTGTTAATAGGAAGGTTTATCATTGGATTTTCCTTAGGAAAGAGAAACCAAAATTACCTAACTGGCGATCAGCACAACCACCACTGAAGTTAGACGGTACAAATTTTGCGGTAATTCACATCTCTTTGGGTGACTCTGGCTATAAGATACTTCTCTAAGAAGCAAGTCCCTGAATATAGTGAATGCAGACTCAAACGGCATTAGATGAAAATTGTGAATCAGGCTGAAAATAAATTATCTCACTATTGCAACAAGAGAACTCAGGTGAAAATACGGGAAAAAGGCTTACTGTACCCTTTAAAAAATGTAGCTTCACCATGCTATCTTCTCCCAAGTTGTGAACGCTGATTCCTACCTGATTCCTGAGTTTCTGAATTTCTTCTTCTCGATCTTTAATTCTGCTTTGCAGTGTGTTCTTTGTTCGATACAGATCTTCTTCTATGTAGTGGAATTCCTACAAAGTGAGGCACAAATGAGCAAAAGTTAGATCAGAGCTCCCTATTTCATCCCCAGTACTTGAAACAGCGCCTGACACACGGTCGCCATTCAAGCAACATGTGATGCGTGTGCACCGACTGAGACATTGGACTCGGATGGTCTGATGAAAAGTTAATGCCTCCGCATGACATCCAAGCACAAGTCTTTATGTGATCACATATTCCCATTTTTCTTGGATAGATATGTAGGAACAGAACCCCTGGAGCACAAAAGTGTATGTCTAATAAGGGAAGAAAAGCTGCCAAACTGTTTTCCGAGTTTTCTTTCAAAATACCTGTACCATTTTGCATTCCCATAGCAACAGGAGAGTTCCAGTTCCAACACTCGCTACTGTCAGGCTCTGTAAGTGCAGCTGTTCTAACGGGTATGCAGTGGTATCTCATTGTGGTTTCAATCTGCATTTCCCTAATGGCTAAGGATGCTGAGCAGCTTTCCATATGGTTATTTGCATCAGGCAATATCTTGCACCGGTTTTACTCTATCATCGATAAAAGTGAGAGAGAAAAAAAGAAATACCTCCAGATTCACTAACAGCTGCACTAGTGAACTACTAGTTGTACAATGGATATGACCAGTCAGAGTCAGGTCAGAATTTAAGAGCAAAGCACATGCCAGGGAAGAGAGAGTAATTAACTAAGTACCTTCAAAAGCATTATGCTTAACTATGCTAATAAAAGACGTAAAGGGAGCTGCACGAAGAAGTAAACACGACATGGAACATCAAACTGCTAGAGACTACTTCAGACACTTGGCTCAACCTGCTCATTTCACAGACTCAACAAATTGAGATAAACGAGAAGAGAGAAAATCAGGAGGGTAAGTAGGGTTGGAGAATCACTATTTACAAGGTTTGCCTGATTTTATAGCTCTAGGCTAGCACAAAATTCAAGGCTGAAATTACTTAAATTAATAAGGAGCGCTACAGGACTATTTAATCCCAAGATTGAGCACTTTACATCTAGAACATCTGATTACTAAGTGAACAGCCCACAGCTGCCTTCAGCTCCACTTTCCTCTACTTAACTCCCTCATCTTAAAAAAGGCACTGGAAGTGGATGCAGTAAAACCATCTGCCACAATAAAATGAAAATTATCTCACTCACCATCAAGAACATCAAATTTTTGCCTTTTAATAAATTAAAATGCAATTTCTGAAAGGACAGCTAATCTTATGACTAAATTATCTAAACAGCTATGATGTACCCCACAGGTTGCTACTTGGTGAATTTTTCTCTTAATACTCAGGAAATAGATTTAAGTGCAACTTTCATAATAAAAACAAACATTGAGAATAGAACTAGCTTCAGAAATGATAAATCCCAATGAAAAAACTCTTTAAAGAATATAAATATGCAAAGCTGGAAATGTTAGGAGTGATGCACTGAGAATTATAAGAATAGTTTTCTCTCTGTAAAACGAAGAGAATAACAATTTTGAGGATGAAATAAGATAATGTAAACTAGGTGCCTATAACAATGTCATTTCTCAGTAAATTAGAGATGTTATTAATATTAGATACAAAATATTAGATACAAAATTATGCAAATGTGGCATAAGCAAGTTCAACTGTGTTAATATTTAAACTATTACATAAGTATATTAAAGTAGAATAATTTGGCTTGAGGAGCAGACAACTGCTGATTGAACAATGAAATATAATTCTAAACATGATTTGTAGGAACAGTCTGTATAAGCATCTTTTCTCAACAGAAAGAGCAGTCTAATGGTACTAAGGTATATATGTTTCTATTAAAGAATATTTACTGATGTTCCTAGAAAGCACAAATAAAATATGAAAATCAACTGACATTTTTAAGTTTTCTATACATACATACTCCAACAAAAAGATACAATAAAATACAGACAGGGCAGCAGACAGAACTCTGCAACAGGAACCCTGGGCACTATCCTGTTCTATAATTAGTTGTATGATATTAGGCAAGTCTCATTTTTGTGCTTCTACTTTTCATCTCTTAAAAAACAAACAGGGGCCAGCCCGGTGGCGCAGCATTTAAGTGCACATGTTCCACTTTGGTGGCCCGGGGTTTGCCAGTTTGGATCCCGGGTGTGGACATGGCACTGCTTGGCAAGCCATGCTGTGGCAGGTGTCCTACATGTAAAGTAGAGGCAGACGGGCGTGGATGTTAACTCAGGGCCAGTCTTCCTCAGCAAAAAGAGGAGGACTGGCAGCAGATGTTAGCTCAGGGCTAATCTTCCTCAAAAAAAAAAGAAAGAAAAAGAACACAAAAAAACCCAAACAAACAATGAGGAGGATGGGGTAATAAGGTAGGTAGGAGGGACCATCTACCATCAACACTGTGAGCTCACGCTGTTAAGAATTTCAGTAAGCTGCTTTACCAGGACGTCTCCTCGTATGACCACTAGGGGACGGAGTCTTCCCCAGTAATCATCAACCTCAAATCCTTACCTGCTTCTGTCGATCCAGCTCTGCCTCTAGTTCTTGTTTAGACGCCTTCTGCTGGGCTATTTGGTCTTGCAGATCTTGTAACTGTTCTCTTGCTGATTCTGCTTCACTAACCTGCTGAGCCTCCATATCCTTAAAAAGATGCACCTTACATGTGAAAGCAATACTTAACTGTTCAGGTCAACATTTGCTGAGTCATCATTATGCGCCAGGAGCTGGGCACAGCAGGCGCTAGAGGGACAGGATGCGCGAGACATGGTCTCAGCCTACAAGGAGCATACAAACTGACACTCCATTATATAACATGGAAAGGGCGAGAGAAATGAACAGGATACTACAGCTGCCACAGCACATACATCATTTGGTCTCATGAGTATGAGGAGACAGTGGCTCACTGGGAGACTTAGATCTTTATTCAAAAGCTAACCACTTCAGGGGCCAGACCCGTGGCCTAGTAGGCAAGTTCAGCGTGCTCTGCTTTGGTGGCCCAGGTTCACAGGTTCAGATCCTAGGTGCAGACCTATACCAATCGTCAGCCATGCTGTGGTGGTGTCCCACATATAAAACAGAGGAAGACTGGCACAGATGTTAGCTCAGGGTGAATCTTCCTCAAGCCAAAAAAAAGAGGAAGATTGGTAACAGATGTTAGCTCAGGGCCAATCTCTCTCAGCAAAAAAAAAAAAAAAAAAAGAAGCAAGATGATAACCTAACAACTTCAAAAAGAACAGAAATATATAACATCTAAAAGAAATTCCCTGCCTTAATTCCCTGATATTGCAGGTTATCACTAGTTTTTTGTGTGTGCATAAGTAATCAATACACAGTAAGAATATAACTTTTCTCTCATATCACCTGAGGTAAGTGTATTATTTTTTTTTAGCTTTATTACTATTATCTGCTTTCACATCTTCCCATGTTTCTTCTGTAACTTATTTCTCTGGGGGTCACTACTGTCACTTCTTCAAACTCAAAAACCACCTTCTGGATTTCCTGTAAAATCGAGTAGTGGCAAAGAACACAGTTCTAGGTTTCTCTATTTTCCACATACAGGTTAAGGATAAATCTATTCACATAGTACTATAGAGATTAAAATCAGCATCTTAACTTTGCTCTTTATCTTTTGGTACATTCTGTTTTATACTCATCTCCACAAACTCTGGCACTTCACATACTGTCTGAAAGAACTGACAGATTAACGATACTCCCAGATAATCACAGTGTAATATTCTGTATTCACACAACTTTGTGGATTTAGAGGAAAAAGCAGTAAGTACAACTATTTTCCCCTACCATCGTGTTTTCAGGGTTAGTAAAAGGTAGATTAATCTTTGTCATAAATTTGACTAAATCAGACAAATTCTTGAGAGGCAGGCAATATCCATAATGGTTAAGAATGCATCTTCTGGAATCAGACAGACTAGGGTTCTAATCCCGGCTCTGCCGCTTTACTGGTGAGGGGAAGTAACTTTCCTTCTCCATGCTTACATTTCTTCAGGCTGTAAAATGAGAGTTATCACCTCCCTTACAGGGTAATGGTAAGGAAGAAACAAAGGGATATAGCTGAGAGCTTAGTGCTCAGAACCTGATGGCTATTATCATTATTAACAATTCTCCCATTTTGCTAGACCTAATACTATAATCTGCATTACAGATTACATAAACTTCTTGAGAAAAGGTAGTCACTGTTGTCAATGATGCTGGGGTAAGGATGAGATATTAAATAAAACAAATCATATTTTTCATAATCTCGCCCTAAAGACATGTATGATTAAGATAAGGTATGAATAAGATTAGCACCTACTCAATTTCTAAGTTCACCGGATTGAATCCTTTGAATTCAAGATTATTTATAGAAAAAAAAAAATCCTACTTTAAAGACTACGAGGACAACAGCCTTCCCCAATTCTTCTATTTGGCCAATAAGAAAACAATCCAGAAATAACAGCAGCTCCTACTACTGAGGGCCAACTGTGTATCAGGAACAACGCCAGGCCCTGTACACATATCCCTTATCCTCAAGAGAACCTGCTGCCCAGCCTGTTCCAGATGAGGAGACTCAGGCTCATGAGGGGGAGCGCTCTGTGCAGGGGCACATCTAGTCTACATCCAGGTCTGTCTGATAGTCAAGCCTATAATCCAGACAAGATATGCTAGCCTCGGGACTTCCCTACTTGCCTCTGTGGTTCACGGACATCTTACAAATCAATAATTTGCTGAGTTAATGCATGAATGGATTCTCTTTGCAAAACGTTTTTTTTTTTAAAAAAAAGATGGCTTGTTATCCTGCATTTGATCTTTTCTCATCCTCAGAGACCCTCCTACAATACTTATGTTAAGGACCCTATATTTCATCTAAATTAATGGCTCAGTTTACTCCTAGATTAAATATAGTAATTATACATAAACTATAAATTATAAGATTATGTGTGAAACCACAATTAAAAGACCATCCCTAAGCCCATTCTAATACCAGAAAATACCCCAGTTTTACAGACAAGCCCAAATCTGATTTGTTTTTAACCACTAGCATGTAAGATCCATAAATATGAAGATTCTGTCTGGTTCCCTGGTATAACTCCGAGCCCAGAAGATGCTGGCATGGCAGCACTTGGTAAGAACTGGCTGAACATGAATCTGGTCACCTACGTTTGTTATTCCCACAACTTGATAGTTAATCAGTGGACAAGAAACCTACTGCTTTAGATTTACTTCTATCTGGTGAATAATATTCCAGCAGAAGTTTCACACGTTATTTCACTAATACTACCTTCCCCCCCAAATACAGACTTCATCACCTCTTGAACTGCTAATAGCAGCTGGGGGCACAAGGTCGTCTGTGAGGCCAAACCACAATGAAGCTTACCTGTAGTTCAGATCTCAGCTGATGTATCTGGCCCATCAGCTTCTGTATTTCCTCCCGCTGCAGCTCCTTTTCATGCCGAAGTTCCTCCAGCTCCATGCTGTTAGCAGCACTGCTATCGAGGCCTTCAAAACCAGACCCTTCCTTTAAGCTGTTGATCAATTTTTCTTTAGACTATTGTAGACAAAGAAATATCTTTAAGCAAACCAGAGATTACCTTGTATACTGAATATCATCTACGATGTACCAACTAAACCTCTATGGAAATATTCCAATTCTGTTCTCCATCAAACAAAGTCCACAGATTAAACCCACTGGGATACAAATGCAACAGGCCTTGCTGTACCGTGTCCTTGGAAAACAGTGTCCCTAGGACCATGCTATTGTTGAAAACTTGTTATTAACAAGGCTTTTCTCATTTTCTTCTCATCCTTTCTTACCCTTTTATCCCCGGTAACATTCTACTCAACAAATATTTATGGAGCACTGACAATGGTTTTGGCAGTGTGCTGAGTGTCCTGTGTAAAAAAGCCAAGGTCCCTCACTCGGATAGCACCCTCTGCCTTATAAACGAAAAGGGAAGTCTGTTACAAGAACCCAGGAGAAGGCAGGAAAGACAAGTTGAGAGAAGGATACGGTCAGATTATTGCGGAGTTCTGGGAGGAGAGACCACTCTGGGGAAGACAAGGCTTTACCTGAGAGACAGCAGTTATGCTGGTCCTGAAAAACGGCTAGGATTTTACCAGGGACAGAGAAAACAGAAGGCAAAACACAAAAACGCAAAAGCACGAGCGCTCTAAGAAAGTTCCGTGAGATGAGCGCAGCTACTGCGTGAGGACCTCTTTGCGGGAGCTTCAGCTGCCAGGCTACAACGTTTTCATTTTATTTGGCAGGCTAAAACAAATGACCAAAAAGTAGACAGGGAAGCAATATGACCAGAGATGCATTTTCGGAGGGTTAATCCAGCAGTGGTATAATGCAGGCGTCCACAAACTATGGGCCATGGGCTAGATCTGGCCTGTGGCCTGTTTCTGTACAGCCTGCAAGCTAAGAAGGGTTTTTATATTTTTAAAGGATCCTAAGAAATAAAAACAAAGATTATGTGATGGAGACCACACATAGCTCACAAGCCTACACTATGTACTATTTGGCCCTTTACAGAGAAAGTTTGCCACCCCTGGGATAAAGGATGAGTTGGAAGAAGAGATTTGATGTGGAAAGATTAGTTTAAAAAGTGCTATAATTCTAGGCCCGTAATAACAGGACCATCAGCTCTTTCACGTTAAACACAAACATGTGAAAGACACTCTCCTCCGTCAAAAATAATTTTCCCTTTCTATGTGGTAGAATTATGGATGCCTTTTTCAAACTTTTCTGTATTTTTCAAATTTTCTATAATAAACATGATTTTATATGTCCACATGGCTAATGCCCAGACCCCTCTGCTGAGCTTCAGGCCTGTATTTATTTATTTATTTTTGCTGAGGAAGATTTGTCCTGAGCTAACAACTGTTGCCAATCTTCCTCTTTTTGTATGTGAGCCGCTGCCACAAAACAGCCACTGACAGATGAGTGGTGTAGGTCCATGCCTGGGAACTGAACCCAGGCTGCTGAAGTGGAGAGTGCCATACTTAACCACCAGGCCACTGGGGCTGGCAGGCCTATATTTCTGAGTGCCTTTCTGAAACTTTCACCTCAATGTCACATCAATTTTGCAAACTCACCAGAACTTGTCATAATCTCCATCAACCCTAGTCTGCCATCTTTCCTGTTTTCCCTTTTGTAGTACAGGGGAATATCATTCATACACTCACACCAGAAACCTGGAGTCACCCTGGATTCCACCTGCCATTCCCACTTCCTCCAATTAAATCTCCAAGTCTCAAATATTCCACCTCCCACATTTCTATAAGCTGTCCCCTATACGCCATCCCCACTGCCATGAATTAGATCAGATCCTCATCATTTCTTACCGTTATTTTTGATACTTGCCTCTTCACTATCTACATCTCACCAACCCAGCCTTCATCCCTTCAATGTATTCAACAACTTACTGAGTACCTGCTCAGGGCCAGGCACTGTGCTGGGGACAGAACGGTAAACAAGATGGAGACCCAGCTCTCCCCTAACCTCATCACTGCCACAGTTCTTGCACTCAAATCTGTTCATGCTGCTCAAATTCACCCCCTTACTCCCTACCATCACCTATAAAACTTCTTTGCACGGCATGCAAGGCCATCTGTGATCTGCCTTCCGCCTGCCATTGAGTTTTATCTCCCATCTCTTATCTCTAGTACTTTATGCTCCAGCAATAGGGAACTAGCTGCAGTCCACTAAATACATCACGTTCCCTCAGGTCCCCTTTGCTCTGGGCACAGGTTGTTCTATCTGACATCTCTTCCCTACCACAAGTCTTCCTACTCATCTGGCAATTTGCTCTTTATACAGCATCTCCAGTGATCCCTGACATCCTCAGACAGACTTTAACGGCTTACTGTATCAATAATTTCATCACATCAATTACCGCAGTGTCTTTCCACTAGACTGAACACTCCTTGCAGAACAGGACACATCTTTTGAGCTTTGTATCCTCAGCAGCTATTACAGTGCCTAGCGAATAGTACCTTTTAAATGATTTAACAAATTAGAGTGATGCAACAAAAATAATCAGAAAGAAGAATTTGGAGGAGATGGATACAATGTTTCATGAAGGGAATGGAAAAGGCATTCATAACCAATAGGAGGTTGGGGCTAAAGGAAAAAGGGGGAGTCAAAATGACACTGTAGTTTCAAGCTCTATTGCCTGGGAAGATGGCAATAATATTTATCAAAATAGCAGAATGAAGGAGAAGCTGGTTTGGGGACTGGGACACCCCATGCAGAGAAGCATGGCAGACATTTAGAAACTGGGGTCAGGAAGCTAGGGTTGGAGACATGCTGAAGTCACACTGAGGTGACAGAAGCAGAGTGAGTATATGATAATGCAAAGTAAGAAAGAATAACAAAAAATTCTGTGTAGGATAGAACTTGAGATGATTCTTCCTCTTTGGGGACTGGTAACAGGGTCCAACTGAGACAGAAACAGCAGTAAGAGAGGACAAGGAGACCTAAGGCAGTGCAAGTGGCATCAGAAGGCAAGAGTTTCAAGAAAGTCGGAGGGTTAATAGTGTCAAATGCTCTACCAAAATCAAAGTGGATGCAAACTAAGAAAAGGACAGAAAAAATATATTTAGGTCATTAAAGACTTTTGAGAAGCCAGTTTCAAAAATGTAATGGGGAGAGAAATTACATGAAGGAGTTGAAATTAGTTCTAAAATGACAACAGCAGTCTGACATTGAAAGAAAGGACAGGTAAATGGATGAAAGTGGTTAAAAAAGCCAAAAGGAGTGTTTTTTCCCTTAGGCAAGAGTTCCAAGATCTAGTCTTCCTTCTTCCACTAAGTAACAGTGTGCTCTTGAATAACCTGAGCCAGAAGGCAGCAGAAAGATACAGATGGAGAGCACAAATTTAGGGAGAAAGGGCTTAAATGAGATGGGAAGATATGGAATCAATGCACAAGTAGAAAATTATTCTAGAAAAAAAATGGAAGGACACGTTTTTCCCTCTGCTATGAGAGGCAAAGAGAGAAGTTTAAAGGTATGTCTGCTAACTGCAGTCTTTTTAGAAAAGTAGAAGGTAAGGTGGCCTTAGGTCTGAGGAACAGAGAACAAGCTGGATGAGGCGATGCTGAGAGCTGGAGGAGGTCTAGACCAGCTATTGTGAAAACTTCAACAGACGATCAACAAGAAAGAAGAAACGACTGTTTAACGACAACCATGAATATTATTACAGTGATGAAGGTTGAAGACTTGAACTAGGCAGTGGCAGAATGAACTTTAGATAAAAAGAAAAAAAGCGATAGGAACAAGAGACACTGCATCCTCTCCGCAGTGTTTCCAAGTAGAGTGAGGCGTCTGAAGTGAGCCAGCCCAGCCAAACAGGAACCAATCATCCCACAGATCTGTACAGTCTCCGTGGCTCCCGGTTAAACGGCATCTCTTAACGTTCAGAAGTGTACATTTCACGCTTACCTGGAGGATTCTAGTAGCTTTCTGCTTGTAGTCAATTAATTCCTGCTTAGAGGACTCCAAGTTGGACTTATACATCTTGACTTGCTGCTGCATCTCATCAACTCTCTTCTTCTCATCTGAGTATTTTCTCTCTGCCAGAGTAACTGCTTCTGCCAAATTCTGACGTTCCACTTCCATTTTATTAAGACGTGCAGCAAACTCACTCTGTGACAAAGTTTTATATCATACTTACATCATTTTGCTTTGAGATATATTTTGCAACCATCCATTCAGATATCCTGTGGGGTTGTGGCTCTCAAACATGGCAATGCATCACGATCAGTTAGGGAGTCTGTTAAAAATACAGCCATTCTAGGCCTTTCCCAGGCTTACCGAATTGGAATTTCCAAGACTGGGCTTGAAAATCTGTTTTTTAAGAAATTCCCCAGGTGAACCCAGTCACTTGGATACTAGGTCTGGTCTGATACCAGCTGATCAATGGATAACAGGCCTAGAGAAAACTAGATAGTCTATTAGGAAACAAGTAAATAGCTGCATCTTTTCTAATAGCACAGCTAACATTTTCCCTTTATTTCAAATTTTCTAATAAACTACTCAATGTAATTTTTTAGCTTAAGAAATTTTTAAAGCACATTCTATAAAACACATGGCCTGTCACTTTCTAGCCTATCTAGTTCTCAGAATTTTTTATATTTTATCTTCATTCTCAAAAGCTCCCATCATCAAAAAACTCAGAAGGTGAGGCAGAAGTCAGAAAGCCTTTAGAGTTACATGCCAATATCTGAAGCCCACAAACCTCTGATCCAACGTTAACTCCTGTTCTGAAGAAAAGCAGCAGGAGGACTACTCCTGCTGCCCCCTGAGCATGTGAGATGTGTCCAACGCAACTGAGAACTGAACTTTCAAGTTTATTCATTTTAACCAATTTAAATTTAAACATAAAACCTAGTAATTCAATTAGGAAAAGAATTACTGAGATCTAATTCACATACCATAAAGTCTACCATTTTAAGGTGTACACTTCAGTGGTTTTTAGTGTATTCAGAGAGTTGTGCAACCACTGTCACATACCATTATCACTACCTAGTTTCAGAACACTTTCATCCTCTGTCATTCCTCCCTCCCTCCCAATCTCTGGCAAACATTAATCTACTTTCTTTCTCTATAGATGTGCCTACTCTGGACATGTCATATAAATGGAATCATACAAAATGTGGCCTTTTGTGTCTGCCTTCTTTCACTTGGCATAATGTTTTAAAGGGTCATCCATGTTGTAGCATGAATCAGTACTTCATTCTTTTTTCTAAAATTGTTTGCTGGGAAAGATTCACCCTGAGTTAACATCTGTTGCCAATCTTCCTCTTTTTTTTTTTTCTCTCCAAAGCCCCAGTGCAGAGCTGTATATTCTACTTGTTAAGTCCTTCTGGTTCTTCTACGTGAGCTGCTGCCACAGCATGGCCACTGACAGACAAGTGGTGCAATTCGGCATGTGGGAACCAAACCTGGGCCACTGAAGCAGGGTGTGCTGAACTTGAATTACTAGGCCATCAGGGCTGGCTCACTTCACTCCTTTTCATGGCTGAATGAGATCTCCTTGTATGGATATACCACATTTTGTTTATCCATTCAGAAACTGATAGACCTGTGTATTGTTTCCAGTTTGGGGCTATTATAAAGAGTTCTGCTATGAACATTCGCATACAAGTTTTTGTGTGGACATGTATTTTCATTTCTCTTGGGTATATGCCTAGGAGTAGAACTGCTGGGTCATATGTTTAACTTTTTGAGGAACTGTCTGTTAAGTGGAAAACTTCTGAATACGTTTAGAACAACCTGGGTATGAGAATTTATTCTTTCACCTGTAAATTTTATGAACTCAATACATATCAAGTATTTCAGAAGAAAATTTAATGACCGAATTAAGTGTAAAATACACCATATTTTAAAGAATCTGTATACAAAAAAGACTGTAAAATACCTCATTAATAATTTTTAATATTAACTATATTTTGAGATGATAGTACTTTAGATATACAGTGTTAAATAAAATATATTAATAAAATTTTCAAAAATCCACATTAGCTGATACTTACTTTCCGGGCTGAACTATTTTCACCTGTTTGAAAGATAGCCTGGCCAGAGATTCTCAACCCTGACTGCGCATTAGATATACCTGCAAATCTTGTAAAACCACACCACCACCGTCTATGCCTTACCTCCTACAGTGGGATCGGACTCTCTGGGAGCAGAGACCTGGCATCAGAAAGCATTAATAAGCTACATAGGTGATTCTAATGCATACAGAGGGTTGTGAATCACTGAACTAGATGACAAAATTCACTTAAGAGTAAAACTCTAAATATTATGCACAATTTTCTCATGAAATAAATAAATCTGATTAAACTGGCATCAGAAAAAGCTTAAATAAAAAAAAAAACAAGATGTTCCAAATCAGCTTTTAATCAAATAACAGTAATGTTTGTTGCACAACCAAATTAAATGAAAAGATTTCTATCTCTAATGAATATTAACTATTTTAATTATATTTCAATACATAAAATTAAATAAATTTAGCAAGGATCAAGCTAAATTTTCAAATGCGTGGTTTTCGTCACAGAAACAGAATGTTACTAATGAGTGAATGTGTTATGAAACAGCATAAAGCCATTCCTCCCCGTCCCAGAAACGAAAGACCTCGGTGGTCCCCATTCTAACCTGCATCTGTTTATAGCTCTCCTGCTCTCTCTTCAGGGCGGCGTCAGCTTCATGCAGTCTCTCCTGAAGAGTCTGCAGCGCTTGATTCTGTAGGCTGCTACCTTCGCTGTGATCCTGCATTATTCTAAAAGAAAACACATCACCTAAAACAACTCATTTCCAAGTGTACAGGTGATAAGGTAGAATAATTTTTAGAGCATCAGCTTGTAAGCACAAAAAAGATGGTTTAACTAAAACATTCTTAAAGAAATTTTTTTCTCTTTTAATGGAATGTAATCTATATTTTTAGGCATCCAAATGTAAGCACACACCACGTATCACTGTATGTTGAAAGACTAATGACAGTATGGTCTTCAAATATTTTTAAATTCAGAATTCGCTAACAATGCACCTCAAGATTCAAACAATAAATCCATTTTCCTTAACACACATTTTCCAAGATTACCAAAGATAAATTTTCCCTCTTGTAAATCTCCAAAAGCTAAATTTTAATAAGGCAGTACATATTGCAACGTTTATCATTACTTATATAGAAAGCATGATTCTAGCTCCTTTTTTCATTATTCATAGAATTGGCTACCGTGATTTTTCACTCTGTAAGGCTTCTAATGCTTCCGTGCGAGCGCTCAGGAGCTGGTCAGCTTCTTGCAGCCTCACTTTCAGTATGGCCAGCTGGGAATCCTTCGCAGCCACTGCTTCGGTCAGGTCATCTACCTGGGCTCGAAGTTCCCGACTTATTCGATCACTCTTTGAATGGTCAACATTCCACTTTTCAACTCTTGCTCTTGCTTTGTTTAATTCTAAAAAAAAATACAATTTCTCTATTCAAGCAAACACTTCTTTCTCTGAGCACACACAGATTCTCCTTTGAGTCTCTTTAGTGTTTTACTTATTGCCAAAATTAGGAGCTTACAAATATCTCCAAATTTATTACTCCAAATGGGCCACTCATTTTTCAAGGCCGACATTCACCCTTATATTACAGTTGAAAGGGTGGAAAGGGGCATGACGCTAGCTGCTCTTCTACAAATGTTTTCTCTGGAGACACAGCATAAAGCATCTGGGAGCCAAGGCCAGTAGATAGTGGGGAGTTCACAAGACTAAAATGGTCAATGGATTGGTGGAGTTCTGCCAGACACAGGAAAGAAAGCAAATCCAACTCAAGGGTAGATAATGTCCACCCCAGTAAGGCCAAACAAACAAAAACAAATGCTGAAGAGAAACACAGAAAAGAATATGTTTCTTTCCATTACTGTGGCAAAAAGATGCTATTCTTTTAACCTAGGAAATTGGTGCAGAAAGAGCAATGCAGTGCAGATTTCCATACCCTCATGTACTATCTGTAATTGCAGTTTACCAGCAAAAAAACCTTTTTTTTTAAGTTGATGCAAATTGTACAGGGTCTCAGGGAAAGCTCTATTTCTATGTCTACATCAGTCTGGGTAAGGTGAAGCCTTTTCTAAAGTCAGTCCAACGAGTCTTAAACTATCCTATTGCACTCTGCAGGGGCTCCATCCATGTCTTGGCAAAACTCTTCCCACAGTCCCCACACTTCTTTTGAATCACCACCAGGAACCAAGGCAGAGATTTCTCCTCTCTTTTGTTTTCTCCTCAGCCACACTTACAATAGCACTAACATACTGCCCCGTCACTACCTCAGTCATGGGATTATTTACTTTTTAATTATCCATTTCTGAGGAAGCTGTGGGTTTTCTATTCTAGGGTCACCTCACTGCACAATTCCAGAGGACACTATTCAAACTGAACTCCACGTTCATTTGACGTCCCCTGGAGCAGTGCAATACTGTGACCTTGCCTACAAGAGCCTCCCACTCTGTTTAATCCCACCTATGGTTCATGAACAGTTCCTCTCGAAAGCTCAGAATCAATTAATAAAATAAACCTGCTGACTACTCACGTTCTGCCCTTCTCAGTTCTTAAATTTCATGGTTCTAAGAATGGCCAAACAAGCCAGTGTTCTCGGTTTCAGGTTGGGAGGAGAATGATTGGTCCCTTTTCCAAATCTGGGCCCTATATTACTATGAAAACACTATTTTACAAGTCTTTAACCAAGTTTTTAGTTTATTTTTGAAATGTTAAATTCCTAATCCTGAACAATTTAAATAAGGCTCTACCTTCTTGAGTTTCCTTGGATCTTTGAAGTAGTGAGGCCATTTCCTGATTTAAAGACTGAACTTCATTCCTCAGCAGTTGATTCTCCAGTCGAAGATTAGACAGTTCATGTGATTTGCCGTCATCAGTAGGAGCTGGGTTGTGATCAGCGCAGGCAGCATCTGACGATACATTTTCCTTTGAAGAATCCTCTTGGACTTCATGGCCAGAATCTGTATTATTAGAGGTTTCTGTAAAAAAGGAATACATTTTTGTTACATTGGAACGCTCACTACATACACATCAGTAGCTTACTTTGGTAGAAGGTCTTTTGGCTCAAGTTGACTGCTACAGCTAAAATACCGTAACAAGTAAACAAATTCTCAATCGACTTCCCTCTGATGAAATTTCATTCTCATACATGGAGCTTTATAGACCTCTAAGGATCCTCAAAATCTGGATACAATGAATGAATGGTGATAAAGAATAGATAAAAGAATACTGTTCTGGGAAGGAGAAAATCAGAGATAATTTAAGTGGTTGGGTTGAGATATAAATAGTTTTGGTCTCCCTTTTGTCTTTGAATTATTTTTGAAAAAAAGGGAGAAGTCTCAACAGTAAAAATAATGGAAAGGCACAAAAGAACAGTTGTGGGTTTCAGGGCAAGGAGAGTAGTAACAGATCAGAGCCACTTGCTACATAGCAAAGCAGAGTCTAAAATGCCTTACCTAAAGAGGCAGAGATTCGTGAATTCAGATTCATCCTGTTTTTAATCTGCTACTAAATGTGATACAAACACACTTTTTACTTACTCTAAAAAAAATTAGGTATGTGCTAAAAAACAAACTCTATCTAAATGATAAAACAGACCCAAACTATAACTGTATGGGCAAAAGACTTGACACTTTACAAAGGAAGATAAACAAATGATCAATAATCATATGAAAAAGTTCTCAACATCGTTAGTGATCAAAGAAATGCAAATTAAAACCCCAATGAGAACTGACAAACACCCACTAGAATGGCTAAAATTAAAGACAACACCGAATGCTGACAGGGATATGGAGCAACTGGAACTCCCACAGATTGCCAGTGGGAGTATAAATGGTGTAACCACTGTGGAAAAAGGTTTCACAGTTTCTTATGAAATTAAACACGCACCTACCGTGTGACCCAATAATTCCATTTCTAGATATTTAACCAAGAGAAAAAAAACACTTTCCCACAAAAGACAAGTACTGTACAAAATTGTTCACAGCAACTTTATTTACAATAACCAGAAACTGAAAGCAACCTCAATGTCCATAAAAAAGAATGGATAAATTGTGGATAACAGACTACTACACAATAAAAAAGAACAACCTATTGATATATCCAATAACATGGATGAATCTCACTGACATATTAAGTCAGATAAGAAAGTGTATATAGTATATGATTCCATTTTTATGAAGTTTTAAAACAAAAACTAACCTAAGGTGAAAAAAATCAGAACAGAGGGTGCTTGGGGAGATGGGGTGGGGAGATTAACTGGGAAGAGACATGAGGAACTTTCTGGGCCAAAGGAAATGTTCCTTATCCTAATACAGCTGTGGGTTACCTGGGTATAGCCATTTGTCTGTATAGCCAAGATCTGTGCATTTCAACATACATAAAACAAATTATGAGACAAACAGGGAAATTTGAGCACTGACTAGGTCCTAGATGATACTAAGGAATTACTAAGTTTTTAAGGTGATAATGGTGCAGATATTTGTTTTTAATGCTTGTATTTTTTCAGAGTAATAAAATGAAGTATTTATAAAAGAAATAATATGAGATCTGTGATTTGCTTCAAAATAATTCTGTGGAGGATAGAGGTAAAGGAAGGGGTGGCAAATGGCAGGGTATAAATGAAACAAGAATGGCTATGAGCTGTCGATTACTCTGGCTGGATAATAAGTAATACAAGGTGGGGAGTGGTCATCAATCAATCTCTACTTTGGTATGTTTGACATTTCCAAAACAAAGATTTTAAAAAGAAATAAAGTATATATCCAAACTTGTGGGATATATACAGTCACACACCACTTAATGACAGGGATATATTCTCAGAAATGCATCGTTAGGTGATTTTGTCATTGTGAGAATCTCAGAGTGTACTTACACAAACCTAGATGCTATAGCCTACTATACACCCAGGCTCTAAGGTACTAATCTTATGGGACCACCATCGTATATGTGGTCCTTCATTGACAGATACGTCATCAAGAGGGGCATATCTGTATCTAAAGTAGTATTTAGAAGGACATTTATAGTCTTAAATATTTATATTAAAAATGAAAGGAAGGAAGAATTAACAGTTATCCATCCATGTTAAGGGTTATAAAAACAGCAAAATAAACCCAAAGAAAGCAGAAATTAACAATAGACCAGAAAGGAACAAAACAGAAAAGAAACATATTAGAGAACATAAAGATAATTTATGCCAATAAATTTTTAAATGTACATGTTGAAACCCATCAAACTGTATACTCTAAGTAAGTGTAGTTTATTGTATGCCAGTTATACTTCATTAATGTTATTTTTTTTAAGATTTTATTTTATTTTCCCTTTTTCTCCCAAAGCCCCCCGGTACATAGTTGTGTATTTTTAGTTGTAGGTCCTTCTAGTTGTGGCATGTGGGTTAATGAGTGGTGCCATGTACACGCCCAGGATTCGAACCGACGAAACCCTGGGCCGCTGAAGCAGAGCGTGTGAACTTAACCACTTGGCCACGGAGCAGGCATCTATTTTTTTTAAAAAACAAGCATTTAGCACAGAGCCAGATAATATCTGGCAGGTAGTATCTGTGATCAAGCTTTGGTTTCTGCAGGGTTAGTATAAATGATTAGATTAGTATCTGATTGTGTTAAAGTTTCAGCTGTGACACCTTCATTATTTTCCTGAAATTAAGCAAAATATAATGCCCCCAAAAGTATACAAAATAGACAAATGCTTAGACTATAACTCACCAAAATCAAATAAATGGAAAACAAAATGAATCAATAGTTAAAATCTTCCAGTAAGAATACCCCAGACCCTGATGGTTTTACCAGTGAGTTTTAGTAAACATTTAGGGAATAAACAATCTCAGTCTTACATCAAATAATTAAGACAACAGGAAAAGAGGGAACACTTTCCAATTCATTTTATAAGGCTAACATAACTGTAATACTAAAACCTAACAATATTACAGGTCAATCTCACTTATGAAATAAATGCAAAAGTCCTAAACAGAGCATTAGCAAACTGAAAGTTAAGTTTGGTTTTAGGTTTTAAAAAAATCAACTGATTTGTATACCCTATTATTAAAGAAGAAAAGTCATATGATATCTCATACATACAGGAAAAACGGGCTAAAAATTCAACAAAAAAACCTCAAACTAGATATATATGGAAACTTCCTTAGCCTGATAAAAAGTACCCATGAAAAACCTAACACAAACATCATACTTAGTGAAAGACTCAAAGCATTCCCTTTGTGATATGTACAAGACACAAAATTGGTTTTCAGTCCTAGCCAATGCAGTAAAGCAAGAAAAAATTTTTTAAAAAGATAAAAGGGTTAAGAAGAAACCAAACTGTCATTATCCACATATGATATTATTGTGTTGTTGAAAATCTAAATGAATATACAGAAAAATAAAAAGAGTTATCTTTTTTTTTAAGATTTTATTTTTCCTTTTTCTCCCCAAAGCCCCCCAGTACATAGTTGTGTATTTTTAGTTGTGGGTCTTTCTAGCTGTGGCATGTGGGATGCCACCTCAACATGGCTTGATGAGCTGTGCCATGTCCACATGCAGGATTCAAACCCGAGAAACCCTGGGCCGCCAAAGCAGAGTGCATGAACTTGACCACTCGGCCCGGTGGCCGGCCCAAGAAGAGCTATCCTTGACACACAGGTTGCTGTCTGTCAAAAAACAATACACCAGCAAGAAACAAAGTAAAAATTTTAAAGGGATACCATTTATAATAGTTTCAAAAAATATACACTACCAGGAATAAATCTAACAAAAAGTATGCAAGACCTTCATGGAGAAAACAGTAAAATCTTAATAAAAGACATTTTAAAGATAAGTTAAAATTATATCATGTTAATGGGTTAGAAAACTCAATATTATAAAGATGCTGATTCTCACCCAACTGTCTATATAGGAGCAACAGACTCCAATAAAAAGACCGACAGAATTTTTGGGAAACTTAGCGAGCAAATTCTAAAATGCAAAGTGATGTATAAAAGTCCAAGAACAACCAAAACACTCTCGAAGAAGGACGAAGTGGTAGAAGTTGCTCTATGAGATACCGAGATACATTATAAAGATGGTATAAAGACATTATTAAGACAGTATGGCACTGGCACAAAGATAGACAAATAAACCAATGAAACAGAATTTCGTGCCCAGAAACAGAGCAACGTAAAGACGGATATTTGATAGAGAACAGAGGTAGTATTACAGATCGATAGGGAAAAGAAATATTTTCAATAAATGATGCTGAGATAACTCATTTCCAAATGGGAAAAAATGAAATTAGATGCCTACCTCACATCATTCATAAAAAACAACTTTAGGTAAACATCTAAACATGAAAGGCAAAACTATAAAACCTTTAGAAGATAATATAGGAAAGTATCTGTAAGATCTTAGGATAGCGAAAAATTTTCTAAGACACAAAAACACAAACCATAAGGAAAAGACTGATAAACTCATCTAAATTAAGAACTCTATTCAATTAGACACCAGAGAGAGGGATAAAACTGGAGGCGGATGAGAAAGAATTACCATCTGGAATATATAACGAATATCCATGAGGGCCAGCCCCGGTGGCCTAGTGGTCAAGTTCAGCATGCTCCACTTCAGCGGCCTGGGTTTGGTTCCCCGGCACGGACCTACACTGCTCTGTTAGTGGTTGTGCTGTGCTAGCAGCCCATATACTAAAAGATAGGGGAAGACTGGCATGATGTTAACTCAGGGTGAAATCTCCTCTGCCAAAAAAAAAAAAAAAAAAAAGACTATCCCTGAGTCAACAAGGAAAAAGACAGACAATCCATTGGAAAAAAACTGATCAAAAACTTAAATAGGCCGTTCCCAAAAGATAAAACCTCAACAGTCAAACATTTGAAAAGATGTTCAACCTCATTAGTAATGAGAGAAGTAAAAAATAATGACAAACCTTTTCACGCATGATTAGCAAAACATAAAAAGTTGTATTAAAAATATCAAGTACTGGTGAGAATGCAGAGCAAAATGAACTCTTAACCACAGCTGAAGTATAAATTGGTACAACCTCTTCAGAAAACAACTTTGGCATTCATTACTAGTGCAGTTGAACACTGTCACCCCCAACAACTCAGCGATGCCCTTTCGAGGCATTTCAAGGCCTCAGAGGGCACTGGTTCTCAATCTGGGGCAATTCTGCCCCCCAACTGACGTTTGGCAACACATGAAAACATTTTTGGCTGTCACAACTGGGTGTGCTACTGGCATCAAATGGGTTAAGAGGCCAGGGATGCTGCTGAACATCCTAGAACGGACAGGACAGCCTCACACAACAAATTATTTGGCCCAAAATGTCAACAGTCCGAAGATTGAGGGACCCTGCCCTAAAGAAACAAAACCTAATTTTTATAACTGCCACGTATTACCTGGTTCTAACTTACCTCCCTGTCAACCAGGCTTTCTTTGATCTATCCTTTACAGCAGGAAGATAATTCATGTCAACTTCAGCTTAAAAGACCTCTATTAGCACGACATTGCTATGGCACTTTCAACTTTTATTGGCCTAGCAACCACCTGGAGAATGAAAAGATTCAGATGTCCCGGCTCCATCCTCAGAAAATCTGATTCAGGAGGTCTGGGGCGGCACCCAATAATTCATTTTTTATTAATCACACACGTGATTCTAATGCAAGTTGTCCAGAGAACACCTTCAAGAATGACTTATGGGAATAACGAGTTTAAACAAGTAAACAGCGGCATACAATGGCCTTCACAAACAGGCCCCAACTTTCCTTGCTGGCTTCATTTTCTTCATTGCCGTCCATCGCATACTCACTGTTCCCAGCGAGTATGGGAATCTCTGCACCGACTGCTGTCTCCAGGCCCTCTTCTTTTTCACCTGAAAAACTCCTATTCACTCTTTAAGACCCAGTTCAAGTTACAGACCCCTGTGAATCCCTACCTGAATACCTTAGGCAATTACTTTCTCCTTTATGTTTCCACAACACTCGGACCAGACCTCAATGACCACATTTACTACACTATATGTAAATTATGTTTACATGTCTGTCTCACCCACTAGACCATGACCTATTCACTTCTGTATCCTGGCACCAGGATAAATATATAAATATATTTATATATTTATAAATATATATATAAATATATAAATATTTTTATAATTAATCAAAAGGTAGTTGAGAAGAAATTTAGGGGTGTGCATTCATAATTAATCAACTGCTATTGCATGCTCCTGTCTTAAAAGCCCAAAACCCTTACCTCTTTACCACTTTTTTGTCTTGAAGATACAAGACAGTTTTTTTTTTTTTGAGGAAGATTAGCCCTGAGCTAACTGCCACCAATCCTCCTCTTTTTGCTGAGGAAGCCTGGCCCTGAGCTAACATCCGTGTCCATCTTCCTCTACTTTCTATGTGGGATGCCTGCCACAGCATGGCTTGCCAAGTGGTGCCACGTCCGCACCCAGGATCTGAACTGGCAAACCCCGGGCCACCGAAGTGGAACATGCGCACTTAACCGCTGCACCACCAGGCCGGCCCCAAGACAGCTTTTATTCACTAACAGTCAAGACTGGGGGAGAAGCTATAACATTTAGGAACGTAACAACCTTCCATTAATCATCAACTTTATACGAATCCCTGCAAGAACCTATCATGTTTATCACTACTTTAAAATGGTTAGTAGGTGCTTGAAATAGTCACATTACCACGTTAACCTCATTTCTGCACATGAGAAGATGTACATGTGGGGATAATTCCACAGCAAATTAAACTGACAACCAGAATTCTATGCTTTTACTTCACTACTAGGTCAATGCTTTCGACCCGTCAACTGGGATCAAAGTTCAGTCTCTCAGTTTCATTTCTGGGCAAGGCAGGAAAACAGAACAAAAGAAAAAACTCATAACCCAGAATATATGCGAAGGACAGCCTCCTGTCATTTTTATAATCCCAATGACAAAAAGAAACGAATTGAGATAGTCCCAACTCCAAAATCATATGTTTTCTTTCAGATTTCAAAATTGTCTTTTTTGTATCTTAAAACATCTTAGAGAATCACTTTGGACACACTCTCTTAGAGGCTGGGCTACCCACAGACAACATTCAAAGGTCTCCACTATAAGTGTCTACTGAGTAATAGTGTTCCATGCTGTCTCCCTGTCTACACCACACATTTCAGAGCCTGCCCTTACACCAGTGGGGACAGGTAACAAGACAGAGCACGAGAAACACTACCAGAACGTGTTAGGCTATAACAACACATCCAATTTGCTTAACTCTAAAAGAAACAGAGGACCGATTAACTACCATGGCTTTGGCTCCCAGAAGGATTTTCTTCGACGGTTTTGATGGTGGTTACGCTGGTGTTCACAGAACTGACACTAGCTGTCCGAGAACTCTGAAGGACAGGCGTCTTGCCCCTTTCTTTTTTGATTTCCACCCTCCCGGCAGGTTCCTTCTGTGAACTATTAAGAAAATCAAACAGCAGCTCATCATCAGGTTCTGATTTTTTCCTTCGAACAAACTGGGACGAAGGCCTAGGGACTGATGCGTTTTCAACAGGGTGGGAGGCCTCCACTGACGTCCTGGATCCTACTGTCACATTTGCAGTGCCAGCTAAGATGGTGGCCTTTTGATTTCTAATGTTGTCAGCTGCTGAGGAAATATAAGTAGCTCTAGGTCCAGTCTGATACGACAAATCTGCATTTTGCTGGTGAAGGTCAGGATAGTCAGTATTTTTGCTGTATATGATGTTGCTTGTGTTCTCTTTTCTACTGAGAGCAGTTGCAGCCCCTTGATCAACTCGGTTTAAAAGATCTTCTGCCTTTCCAGCAAGATCAGCAAACCAAGACATGATGGTAGCAGAATAATCCTATTGGTGAACCTGTAAAAAGGACATAAAGTGGAAAGTGATCAGTGTGGCACAACAGCAGAGCACAGTGGTCAAGGCCAGGCTCTGGAGTCAGTCTTGAAAGCCTAACCCTGCCCCTTACTAGCTACGTAACCTTGAACAAACTACTTAACTGAAACTGAGAAACTTTACCTAGAAAATGAGGAAAATAATTGTTACATTTTAGGATGGTTTTAAGGTGAAATAATATATCCAAATGGCAAATGATTAATATGGCAAAATTCCACTACAACCAAATAAAAACCGTAATTCCCTGAAGTTCGTTTGAAGGTGCTAACACTCGAAGAAGCAATACAAAATCTATCTTCATGTTAAAATGCAGCGCTATTAAGGATACTTTAGGTGTGCACGTACATAACCTGTCTAATGTACATCTTGAATAGGACCCACCATGTACACATTAAGCTAGGTTCAGAATAAAAAAATACGATGGCACAGCCATTCATCTGATACATGTATTTGAGTACTTATGACGTGCCACAATGACTCAGAATAACGATGAAGTAATCAGTCCTTACATACAGAAGAAGGAGTACTGTATAAAAAAGTCAACAAGCATCTCTTGAATGTACACATTGTTCCTTTCGCCTGCAACACTTTCATGGTTAACTCTTTCCTATTCTTACTGTTCACTTGAATGTCAGTCACCTGCTCCAAAAACGGTGCTCTTTCTTTCCATCTAAATTAGGTCCTATCATTCTCCGATCACATGTTATTCTTTTCCCTCACAGCCCTTCGGGTTTTATTACTACGTTCCTTTTTTTTTCTCTCTCTCTCCCTATTGGGGAAGGGGGGGAGGTGAGTGGGTGGATTAAGGCCAGGTCTGTTGTGCTCACCAATGAATTCCCAGCATCTAGCACAGGGTGGGCACCCATAAACACTGCTGAATGGAATTAGTTTTTATGCGTCAGATGCCGTGCAAACATTATCTTTATTACATATAACTTTCACAACCACATTATGTGGTAAGCAGCACTGTTTCTCACAAATGGGGAAAAGGCTTACAAAGATTCCAGAGTTTAGATGGCAGCTCAGATCCTCAAATCTTAGCGAGCCAGACCCCCTCCTTAACCCCTGCCTTCCCCATCTAGTTTCTCAGTATCTGAGTAACCCCAAGAAGAACTTACCCTCTATACCTGTTCCTCACAAAATGGGACTATTATGTGCCTGTGTATTCGGCTGAGTTTATGCGCAATCAAACCAAAATGGAGGTGAAATGCTTTGTAACGTATAAAACTCTCTACAGATGTAAGGCATTATTCTCAAGTAAACACTGTTGGTGACTGGGGGGCAAATTACCTCTCCTAATAAAGCAATCAAAACACACATTAATTCCTTATACCTCACCTCCCATTTTAAAGTTAATAGGACTTTAAAATAAAAGCACGCGGCTTAATGTTGATTAGCCAATTAAACAAATACTAAGATGTGCCCTGGGCACTTGCCCCATTGACAAGCATCTCGAACGGACTTCAGAGGCACAGAGCCCCCAGATAATTCCTCTGGCACCGTCCCAGGAGGGGCCCACACCGAGGTGGAGAGAGGGTGGGCGTGCTAGGACGGGGTGGGTCTGCAGGAGGCGGGGCAGGGCCGGCTGGAAGGCCAGGCGTCAACACAAAGGGAGGGAGGCTGGCGGTCGGTGGGACGGTCCGGGGAGTGTCAATCGGTGGATCCCACGTAGGCGAGCGCAGATGCCCACTTCGCTCCCCACCACCTGGTTGAGCCTCCAGAGCGAGAAGAGTGGTCAAACCACACTGAGGGTGGAGGGAAAGAGGAAGAGGGGGCAGTAAACAACGTCGGCTGAGGCCCAAGGGGGCTTTCCTGCCTCCTCCCTCACCCCCAACCGGGCAGAGAGACCAGAGTCCACGCCCCCGCGCCTCAGGCCGTTAACGCCCCAGACCGACCCGTCTGCGCACTGGGCCCTCGCCGCCGCCTCACCTGAGGACTCGGGAGCCGCCGCACCGCGGCCTTGTCGTCGTCCTGGGCCGCCCCTCCCTCAGCAACTGGCCGAGAGAGGGCCCAGGCCGAGGGAACACCGTCCGCAACCTGCCGCGGCCCGGCTCGTCTTCCGGGAGACGTGGAAGGGCGGCGAGGACCCCAAAATAGAGTGGCTTCCGAGCTGCCTGAGCAGCCGGGAACCGAGAGCAGCCACCTGGTGGCGACTCAGGCGGCGGCGCCGACAGCTGCGGGGTCCTCGCGCCTGGCCACGCCCCGTGGCGAGACAGGGCCGGGGCGGGGCTGCGTGCGTGTGACGTAGCTCACCTCTCCCGGACGACGTCCTCCACGCCGCAGGCACAACATTGGAGGCCACGCCCACCACAGGCGGGGCCCCACTGCGGCGCACGTGGGTGTCAGAGGCGGCGCCCAGCCTGGAAGGAATTTGCGGCCTGAAGTGGGCGGGATCTGAGAACCCGGTGGACCGGTCCGCTTTCACCTGTGAGGGTTCCGCCTCCCCCTTCAGTTTTACGCTTGAGGATTCTGAGGCCTACCGCAGGATCCCTGATTTCATGCAGCGTACTTTCTAGCGGCAGAGACATATTGAATAAATCCGTGAGTGAACAAGACAATTTCAGTGTTACCAGAGCTGTGAAGACAAGATAACAAGGAGAAGTAACTGGAGATGGAGGAAGCTCTTTAAATGGTGTGGTCAGGAAAGGTCTCTCTAAGGAAGTGACATTTGAGCTGAGACCCAAAAGATGGAAAAGGCCAGTAAAGGGCTTTACATACGATTCATTGAATATTTGAAATTAGTCTAAGTCCACCTTCGGTAATTCAGTAAATACTCAGCGCCTGCTTTGTGTACAGGATTGGGCTAATTCGGCCCTAATGACAAGACTGCAACATAGTCCCAAGGATCCCCGTTTTCCCCGTTTTCAGGTTGAGGAAACTAAGGCTCAGAGAGGTTGAGTAATTTAGGTCATCTGCCCTAATAAGGAGTCCACATTACTCCAAAGCCTGTGCCCTTAGACACCATGTTGTCTCCAAATTAAATATTGGAAGTGATTACAACTCCTTTTCTTCCTCTCTAGTCAGGTTCAGCCTAATCTAATGAACAGAAAAACTTTCAGCAGCACCGGGAGATAATAATAACAGCATCTAACGCTCATTGAGCCCCTATTAAGTGCAGAATACTGTGTTAAGCGTCGGATGTGCTTCACCTCATTTAATTCTCACAACAAGGTACTATTACTATCCTGTGGTAGATGGTATTGTTGTTCCCAACTATTAAGTAGCTCTTCCTGTTAAGGACTATACAGCACCGCTGGTTGCCATGTGACTGCACTGCCTCCTCTAGGAAAAGTGTCCTGTCTGCCTCAATGATGTCAGGCTTGATCATGTGACTTGCTTTGACCAATGGAACGTGAACAGAAGCACCTTTCACTCCATCTGAACAGAAGTGTTAGGAACCATTATGTATTTCCACCAGCTGTTTTGATCTTTTTCCTCTCTCATGAGAATGGCCTGTCCCAGATGGGGCTGCTCCCTATCCCAAGGTCCTGGAAGGAAAACGAGATGTAAAACAGCCCACATCTAACATGTCACATGACTGAAAAATAAACCTTTGTTTTATTTTTTTATTTATTTTTAAAATTTTATTTATTTATTTTTTTTGAGGAAGATAAGCCCTGAGGTAACTACTGCCAATCCTCCTCTTTTTTGCTGAGGAAATCTGGCCCTGAGCTAACATCTGTGCCCATCATCCTCTACTTTATATGTGGGATGCCTACAACAGCATGGCTTGCCAAGCGGTGCCTTGTCTGCACCCGGGATCCAAACCAGTGAACCCCGGGCTGCCGAGAAGCAGAATGTACGAACTTAACCTCTGCGCCACGGGGCCAGGCCCTAAAACTTTGCTTTTAGACACCACTGAGATCTGGAATTGTTTCCTACACAGACTTACCTAATGATATCTGACTAATACATACCCCCGTTTTACAGATGAAGATGTGGAGACTTAAAGAGGTTTAGTTACTTTCCTATAGTCGCCCAGGGAGTAAGTAGTACATCTGAGATTCAAACCTAGGTCAATATGACTCCAGAAATGATGCTCTTAACCACTGAAGGAGTGAGAATGAAGGAAGTTGAAGTTCAGCCAAGTCTCCCATGTGAAAAATAATTGGCAGTGGGCAGGCCCCCAAAAAAGTGTTTAAAGAATTCCCACATATACCGTCCAAGCAAGTCAGCATATAGGGACCTACCACCCAGAAGTCATTGAGGCCAGGCTGGATTAACCAGAGAAATAGCACACCCAAAAGAAAGAGATTACAACCTTGCCCAGTGGGTAAGAAAATTTGCCTTTTCCTTCCCGCTTCTTCCTTGCCCTAATGCCACCAGAGGAGCTACCTCCTTGAAAAGGAAGGAGAAGAAATGTGTGAGGACCAGATTGAGACTCTGGCCTCCACTCCATATCTCTGGTGCAACCAAGCTGGTCTGCTCCAGGGGCCAGGGAGGAGAAGAGTTCTGAATAGAGCTAAGAATGAAGTTTTAAACAAACAGGGCTGTATTGTGAATTCTGAAATGGCAGAGGGGGGAGCCCAGCAAATCCTTTCCCCCCCAAACAATGATAAAATTGGACAAAATTGTGAAAAGCGATTAACTCCCTGGAAATCAACCATAGGCACAACACAAATTAAGAAACGTTTATTCAAGAAAAACTATTAAAATCCGGCTAAGTGAGATCATGTGACATTTTAGCCCAGGGAAATTCCCAATCCTCCCTCCCCACTCCAGCTCTGTGGAGATAGTTCTACCAGGGCTGGGAAAGCTGGAGAAACCCCCAACTGTGGTGCCAGAGAAGGCCGATTTGATTTGAAGTGGAGCCAGACAAGCATCATGCCCGAGGAGAAGGCTCATTTGAGAATGCCAACCTCACAGCTGCCTGAGGTTGCAATATGGGTTGGGCAAACAACTAACTAGAACCCCTGTGGAGGTTTAATGGTGAGAACCAGGTAATGTGACAGCCATAGTGAGCTTTGATAAGCTCCCACGTACCCTGGTGGTCTGGAAGGCTGTCTAAGCTCAGGAGAATCTGGAGAGAGCCCAAGTCATCTACTCACTTCTGGCTGAACACAGTCTTACACAGATACAGAGGAGACACTAAAAAGCCCAGTAGACTAAAAGCCAGGGCAGTCTTATAAACTGTCTGAATTTTGAATGTGTTCCCCAACCCATCTTGATGACACAGGTCCATCAAGAAATGGTAGAAGCTTTACTGGCTCAAGGTATTGACCAATCTTTGACTGAATGCTAAGCTATGTTGACCCTGGTGAAACCTCTAGGAAACCAGCCTTAGAAATAAAAATTAAAAAAAAAATACAAACCTGAACATAGACATCAGTGGTAACACACTGTTGAGGAGGGAAATTTTGCAGAATTAGTCCAGACAAGTCATTAAACAAACAAACATACATAAACTATACAAACAAACAAATATATACACTATACAAACAAACAAGCAACAAAAAACACATCCCCACTGGGGCAGATCAGAACACAAAGTTGCTGCAATATATTACCTAAAATGTCCAGTTTTCAAGAAAAAATTAAGAGACATGCAAATGAACAGGAAAATGTGACCATACATGGGGGGGGGGGGAATCAATATAAACGCTCTGAGATGTAGGACTTAGCACACAAGGACGTTAAAGCAGTGATCATAAGTATGTTCAAAGAACTAAAGGAAAGTATGCCCCAAATGGCTCATCAAATAGAGAACAGCAGCAAAGAGGTAGGAGTTACAAAAAAGCTATGGAAATTCTAGAGTTGAAAAGTACAATAAATATCAAAGGAAAATTTCACTAGAGGGGCTCAAGGCAGATTTGACCAGGCAGAAGAAAGAATCAGGAAACTTGAAGATAGATTGATAGAATTTGTCAAATTGATAGACAAAAAGAATGAAGAGAGTCTCAGAGATGTGGGATATTATCAAACATACCAACATATGTGTAATGGGAATCCCAGAAAGAAAGAGGGGTGGAGTGGGGAGGGAGAAAAATATTTGAAGAAAAAAAAAATGGTCAAAAACGTCCCCAAATTGATGAAAACATTAACCTATGCATCTAAGAAGCTCAGTGATCTTCAGGTAGGATAAATACAAAGAGATCCACACCTGGATATTTAACAGTCAAGCTGTTGAAAGACAAAGAGAACATTTTAAACGCTGCAAGAGAAAAATGACATGACACACAGAGGAAAGAATAAAAGCTGACTTCACATCAGAAACAATGGAGCACAGAAGGCAGTGGGGGTGCCATATTTAAGGTGCTGAAGGGAAATGAACCCTGTCAATCAAGAATTCTATTTCCAGCAAAACCATCTTTCAAAAATGAAGCTAAGATAAAGACATTGCCGGATAAACAAAGACAGAGAATTTGTGGCTAGCAAATCTGCCTTACGAAAAATAATAAAGGAAATCTTTCAACCTGAAGGGGATGACACAGGTGGTAAATTGAATCTACCTGAATAAATTAAACAAAGCTGACTGTTAAATTGAGGAGAGTTATTGTGAGAAGTGGAACCATTTCCTGTCAGTGCCCCCAGGGGGCTGAGACTTCCTAATAAACTGGTTACAGTAATGTCTCAGTGTTTGCCTCCTGTGGCCGTGGAACATAAGTTCTTTATGGAGAGTGACTCCTCTTCTGTGTCTCACACCTGGCTGGCATCACAAGCTGTTACATGCTTTCTTCCACCCTATACTTCTCCTTCATAGCACTTACACAATTGTGATCACGTGAGGGAGGGCAGGGACAGTGTCTGACTTGCCTATGGCTGTATCAGCAGAGCCTAGGAAAGCACATGGCACAAGTGGATACTCTTACATATTGAGTAATGAATGAATAATAATGTCCAGTGAATTGAGATAGTGTGGTAAAGAGGCTGAAAGCAGATGATCAGAGTCCTTATTTGACTGTTAATTAGCTTCAAGGGACTTAATCTCTCTGATTGTCAATTTTATTGAGGAAAAAAAGCCTATAATGAACTAGAATAGATCTAGGCTGAAAGCAAGAAAACCTTGGTTCTGATCATGGTCTAGTTCCTAGCTATGCGAACTTGAGCAAACCACTCTATTTCCCAGGCTTCATTTATAACATAAAGATGTTGAACTAGAATTA